AAACACGTCATCCGAATAAACAATGTTATTAACTTCAGGCAGGCGGAACAATCCAAAGAGACATATCGATTACTCAGACAAGCTTAACTGAAAGTTAATCTAGCAAATTACTGAAATCTAGTTGCATATTTGAAGCTCTTCGGAAGTTTGGTATGCACTTCTAGTGCTATACGTACGCTTAGCTTTTCTAGCAAGCCTCATCAATAGCAAGATGCCCATCGGTTCAACCGAGCCCCTACATCTAAGGGAATTGGTGCCGAACATGTTACACTGCACCTCGAGTGAGAAGATCATTATAGTTTCCGTATGTTCAAGCTGATCTTATACCGACTGCAGTACGATGGTTGTTGACATGAAAACAAATTACTGGTAATCAAGAAATACTGTCAAACAATAATCGTACTATCTAGAGGTAACAAGGTACTTAGTACTTGTGTACGCAGGTATTTAATTTCAAACTTTGAACATATCAAGTTTCAAACTTTGCATATATTCTGGATTTTGTCACTTTCTCTACAAATATGATTATTGTCTGATCCTTAAGAGATATTTCGACAAAATGAATGATGAGTGGAAGATTTTCCATAGTTTCCAAATGTTTTCCATGTATCCAATCAAAACAGGATGGTGTATGTGAATAAGATGGTAAAAAAGCAAACAACTCATTTTTTGAATGGGTGGCGGTTAAAAGCATATGCCCGTATTATTGCAAGTCACGGAAAACTGCTACACCACATATTTCAAATCTCAGAAACCGACTCAAATTTTTTGAAATCTTTTTTCAAAAGTTTTAAGAGAGTTAAGCATAATCGAATTTCTTACTGTTTACACATCCTTTCCGCACCAGAAAGAAGATAACCTTTCTAGCCTGGTCCATTTGATTCAAACGCATCTTTGCATCGAACCAATGACATTTTCTGAAAGTCTGGAAATCTACAGATTTATCTAATGTTGGGCAATTCATGGAACTGACATATGTTATACACCACCCGTGACATCGGATGTACTATTCGCTCTCACCTGCGACCATACATTGTAAGAAAAGTTGAGTCTTCAACTTCTTTAGCTCTGCCAGGATCAGATATTCACTGTAGTGCTCATGAGTCTCCTCACCCTCCATGTGTTGTTCCCGTGGATAAATATCAGGCTCAATGGACATACTGAAAATAAGGATACCAGAGTACAACCAAGTATTCCAAAGACGTTCTTAGAGTTCAAAACGAGCTATAAAATTGTTCAAATAAGGCTAAAATCAGATGAGATTCGACACCTATTTTGATATATAGACCGCTCTGATTACGGGTTGTGGTAAATAATTATATCAGGAACTATGAACGAAAAATGAAAATTCTACTAGAATAGTTGAAAGAAAGGAAGAAAGGGGGAAGATTTTCTGGAACATCCATCAACTCATCGATCAGAAGGAAAGGCATGGAAAAAGATTTTCTAACAGAAGCTGATGAAATGCGAGGAATTGAATTTGTTCAACTGAACACGAAGAATGTTCGACTCATGCTCGTGCCCATTCTGCTAACATTAGAAAAGAATACAAACAACGTGAAAATTTGTTACAAATAAAGGATTCAAAGGAGAGAGAAGGACCAAATCTACCCATGACGTGATCTTGAGCGAGGGACCACATCGTCGAACGATCGGTCAGCAAAGCAGAATATCCTTATGTCTGTATGAATTGACCATAGGGTAAAAGAGCTTCAGAAAGAAGAACTGTTCTTTGATCACTAGGATATTGGAGGAGTTCAAAATTTGATGGCGGAGAATTAAAGCTATGCCAGAAAACAAATGTAGGATTCTTGTAGAATCATCTGGAGATGAGCATTTTTAGAACTGTAGCTTTCAGGAATTCATTGCTAAGGTCTATCATGCAGAATTCCAGTCTATGAACGTTGGCTATAGGAATAAACGTCATAACAGTGAACGCAATCGCGTCATCTTCGTCGAAATTCAGCTCATTTTTTCAAATTTCGCACAACTGTTGGGCTTCGAGAGTTCAGACTGGAAGAGTTGATGCCTCAAATTACACAAAGTCGAAACTTTCACTCGGCGAAACGAAAGACATCTGGTCTATGTGGGCAGGAAAATTGAATTTTTTCCTTGTGACATAAGAGTACTCTTGTCTTGAAGGTAGTATGGTCAATTCATGACGTACATTTGCACACTCCAATGTAAATGAACCTTCTTAATGTCCTTCAAAGACTCCAATTAACGGATACTTTACCACGCCTGAGATTTTTCTTCTTTTCTTTGCTGGGAGTTGAGAGAAGATGAAGTTGGAAGGAGTGAGAGCAGTCTCAGAAAAACCCAACGAGCTCCACCTTTTTGCGTCAAAGGAAAAATGTATACTGAAATAGTTACACACAGATACCGGGCTTCAATCGAACGCTCCCTCGAATAGTAAATAATGGAAGTAATTGTCAGAGTACGCGGCTGAAGTAAAACATTTTATCTTCGATGCTATAGCGTTGTGAAAGGATTGTTCAGAAGGCGGCCACGTAGCGCAGTGGCCAGAGATTGAGCGCTTTCGGGACCGTGGACCCAACCCTCTGCGTCTCTAACACTCAGCGTGCTGCGTCTGATCATCGCTCGCTGGGGTTAGACGCAACACGCTCCACTAATAGACGCAGTACGCCGAGGTCAGAGAAGCAGAGGATTGGATCCATGGTCTCGAGAGGGTTAAGCTTTTCAACGATCACTAGCATTCTTATGAGAAGTTTTTGTCCATCAAAAAGAGGTCGTTTCCTCACCTTCTGCCATCTAACAGAAGGATTTCGTCTACACGTTCATATGCTTTTCGTGCTCCCATAGAAGTGGCAGTAAAAGTGCGCGACCGGTGTAAAACATTTTATCTTCAAAGCCATAGGTTATAAAAAGAATTCTTCAAAAAGCGGCCACGTAGCGCAGTGGCCAGGGACTGAACGCTTTCGGGACCGTAGACCCAACCCCTGCGTCTCTAACCCGCAGCGTATTGCGTCTATTAATCGCAGGCAGGAGTTAGACGCAGTACGCTGAGATCAGAGACACAGAGGGTTCGATCCGTGGCCTCGAGAGGGTCAAGTTCTTGCCCATCGAAAGGGGTCGCTTCCTCACATTCCGCCATCTGACAGAAAAGAACCGATTTTCTTTCCCGATCGAGATACAAAGTCGCTTACCTTGGAGCCCAGATGTCACTAAGGACGGCGCCTGCTCCCTTACAGCTCACGTGTTCCGAGAGATCATGAGAGTCACTGTGGCCCTCCTACGAGGGGCGAATCGAACCGACATGGGTCAAGTTGTGGGAGCCGAGTGTGACATAAATTTGGCGCGCAGTCTGTAATGTCTGCAATTGCAGAACACTTTACACAACGTCAGAGCTGTTTTTTACCTATAGGAGACTCCTGTTGTCCACGTGACTTGAACGCCTAGAGGACCTGTTCTTGCGGACTTAAGTAGAAGGTACGTTTCCCCATACTAAAGGTACTTCTAGCACATTTACCCTCCCCACCAATATTTTATAATGAGCACGTGACGCAGTGGTTAGAGCTACTGCGAGACACACAGATGGTCGTGGGTTCGATCCCATTGCGCGTTGAAGGCTCACTATGCCTCCTCGAACCTTTCGGGAGCGGAAAATTAGCGACTAGACCTTGCCTCGGAGGGTGGTAGCACTGATTTGATACGTTGTCGGGCCACTACGAGTCATTTGAGGGCTAGACGTGTATTCAGGGACCATCTGATGCTACGAATTGAGTCCAATGCATGGTGTATTCCTCATGGATGACGAAAATTAAGGGTGTTATCCATTATCCTTCATCTTTCTTTCTTTTCTTTCTTCTCTTCTTTTTTCTTTCTTTGCTTTTTATTACTAATACTTGGAATTAATAGTATTTTTTTAATGCATTTCGTATTGTTATGATGTTTTCTATATACCTAAGAGAATTGATTGGCGACTAAAAACGGGGCCTCAGGAGGGAATCGAACCCGCGTTTCATCCTATCCGGGGACGCGTGCTCTACCACTACACCACCGAGGCACGTTCGTCCGACCTTTTTATCGCAAGTAATCTAGAAAACCTTCAGTTGCATCTTAGTGATTTTCTTGATAAGCCGATCCGAGATTGTCGTTGATAGCTTGCAATGTTGAGTTATGGGTTCTTTCTGATTGTAAGAGAACCGTGCGTCGGTGGTGCAACGGTTAGCATACGCTCCCGGAAAGAGTGAGATCTGAGTTCGAATCCCGGCTGACGCAAACGTTTTTGCACAGCACTCCACATCATTGGGTATGCCATAACATCTTACGTGGCAGTCGAATAAAAGAATTCTGACTGATTATAAGGGAACAAATGAAAAATTGACCCCATTCGTTGGAGAGGAATTTTTCATAGGAGATTTAGTAACCATTCGAAAGCAGAGACTTCAGGCTACAACCCCACGTCGATGGTTTTTCAAAAAAGACTTTTCTAACGCTGTGAAATCCACACGAAGCAATGTCTCAGAAGCGCAGATCTCTCGCCGGACAGAGTTCTCTCTTTGGGCTATTAGTGACCATTCGATAACTCCAAAGAGCTCTCTCAGGCGAGAAATATGTCACGTCTGCAACGCAAGAAATCTCTTCCTGTGGCTACGTCAAGAAAAGCCCTCTTCGAAAACCGCCGACGTGGGTTTGTAGCCTGAAGTCTCAGCTTTCGAATGGTTACTAACACTTCTATGAAAAGTCCTCTCCAGCTAATCAGATCTATTTTTGATTTGTCCTTTTGTAATCGGAAAGACCCGAGTGATGCTTTGACGTCAGCCAGGTATCGAACTCGCATTACACCGCTTTCGGGAGCGCGTGCTTAACTGCACTAGCTTGGCCTGTTTTGCCTCTACTCTTTGGACGCTGCAACAGATATATTAAATCTGTGTCAGCGTGTTAGGATTCAGTGTCGATTTCGACTACTAGACTGGACCGTTGACGGTCGGTTGTTCACGGATGCGTTGCAGCGTAGAAAGAGTGGTGGTAGAACAGGCTTCAATGGTGCAATTGGTTGAAGCGCGCGCCCATTGAAAGGGTGGAATGCGGGTTCGATTCCCGCCTGACGTCGTAGTTCTGCACATCTCTCTACATCACTGCGTATATCTGTAGCATCACATCGCCGCTAAAAGATCGGTCAGATGAAAAGAATTTTGTTGTTAATTTTACGTCGTTCCATAAGTTTTGAGTTCTGGCACTAGAGAAGTTAACGTCAAATCTATTAATCAGATATAATTGAAATTGCCTGATTTTGGTATCGTTCAATTACGCATTTTCTTGCAAACATTTGGGATACAACTTGCCTATACTTGCTCTAAGATGGAGCCTGTGTGAAACAAGTTCGCTTGCTATTCTTCACGAAGGGCGGTGGGGAAATGCCAGCTAAGCATGCGCGCAAGATTACTGGAGCTTGTGGCGATGATGCGATTGCCAGAAAGGATGACTAGAAGTCCTTCACGAAGTTTTGGAGCTTGAGAGAGCAGTCTGGACGATCAGTGGCTCTCGGAGCGTCCACAAGAAGCTCCATTAATCTTGCGCGCCGTTTCACTAGCATTTTCCCCTACGCACCATTCGTGCAGGAGTAGGAAACGAATTTGTCCCCAAGACAGCTCCATCTTAAAGCGAGTGTAGGCAAGTTGTATACCGAAATTGTTCCGCAAGAAAATGCGCAGTTGAACGGTACCAAATTCGTGCAATTTTGTTTACTTCTGGTCAATTAGTTTGGTGTTCATTGCCTAGTGCCAAAACTTATGGAAGATCTTATGGCATCTATCAGTAATAGACCGGGGAAAAGTTTTAAGAAAATGCTTGTTAAACATCTATTTATGCAACTATTACACCTGGAAAAAGGCAAAACTATTAGTCAAAGCATCTTCTAAACTTTCTTCACCTTCGTCTTACTTTTTGAACCACCTGACACCGTACTTTTGCCAACTATGTCTTCGCCCGAAGCCAGATTGATGCGTTCACTTGCCACCGTTGCATTTGAACCCAACGACCATTCTTGTCTTATCAACAACCTAATTTGCTCGCTTGTTGAACTCATCTTGAAATAAGTAGACAAATTATATACCAATGAACGCGGGAGAAGACGGGCCTTTCAAATGAGCCCAAAAACACAAAAAATGGCCGACACTCAAAAAAGTTACGAGCATTTTCTCAAAATTTTTCCCAACCCCTTTACTGCATAATGCAGCGCAATTATAGCACAGTGAGCTGACTTTTCGGCGGTATCGGTTCCTTCAGCGCAGAGAAGTAAAGTTGATTCGCAGTCCACTCACTCGGAGATTTTTCTCATATATGGAACAATGAGTTGTAGCGACGGTGGCCTCGATAGTGTAACGGTAGCACGCTCCCTGGTATTGGTGAGAAGTGGGTTCAGTTTTTGCTCACCACTTAATTCTCTCGCGTGTACTTTCATGAGCCTGGCAGAAAAACCTAGTGAGCAAGTTCTTATATGGCTTAGTAGAAAGCTTCTTTGTTGATATCCTCACCAATCTTCTTTGTTCCTGAATCGTCAATATTTCAAGGGAGAATAAGCCGCTTAAGGTCTTACATAAGGGGATCTAAGGAAAAACGGATACTCCCTAATGTGATGAATTGGTTAGTTTAAGTATGCTATCCGGGGCAAATAAAGAAATGACCCATCTCGCTGGACATGAACTTTTTATAACAGTGTTATTGATCCAAACAAAAGAATGTTCTAAGCCTAAACGAGGTTGGTATGCCAGGGTCATACCCCGGTGTTTCGGAGGTTTCGGCCTCCTCGTCAGTGGACACCCGCCCCACAGTAGGCCCTGCATTGTAGCAAGGAGGAGGCATATGTGGCTATGGCATAATGTACAATGACTCGGGTCCATCACCCCCTTTCAGTCCATGAATTCGGCTGGCAGACCAAAATTAATCCATAAAATCGACTGTTTCTAAAACCTCGTGATAAACATTCAAAATAATTCCAAAAAACAGAGAATGTTCCAAGCCTAAACGGGCTCAATGTGGGGCGGGGTCACTGACGAGGAGGCCGAAATATCCGAAACACCGGTGTATGACCCTGGCGTACCGACCTCGTGTGGGCTTAAAACATTCTTTCTTTTGGAATTATTGTTGAATGCTTTTTACGAAGTTTTCAAAAGTGTTATTGATCACTCAAAAGCTTAGATCTCTGTCTACTGCGCTATGTTGGCCGTTTTTGGAAGAGGCCTCTATATAATTTCAGAACAAAATTATGTTTTACACGAGTCGCAAGCTTTCAGTATTACTTCGTTGGAGGCACGAGAAGCACATGAACGTGTAGAGGAAATCTTCTAGTATCGGAGTCACATGTTCAATCTGGAATGTCTTCCAAATCGGAGAAGAAATCGCAAATTTCGTAACGAAAATTGCACTCCACGGGTCAGTCGTGTTGATGCCATCGATCGGTCGCGGGGCACCCCATCGAATCAGCGGCTAGCGGATACCCGGCCCATACACTAGCCGACAACCAAATGCGCCACGTATGTGAAACGTGGCCTTATTTTTCTGCTACACTGCATTGGAACGGCTTTACAATACACAATCACAGCCTTAAAATCGTTGAAACCTGCGCTATCGAATGGTTTAGTATAATTTGAAGAAAGAGTTCAATCTTTCGAGAGATATGCGTGTGTAAAGCATATTTGTTCTCTTTCTGCTACAGGGTTATAAAAGTCTTTTTCAAAACTCGGCCTCGTAACGCAGGTAGCCAGAGGTTTGAAGTTTTGATAATTACTAGCCTCTTTTGAAAAGTTCTTGTCTAGCTAAAGAGAACGTTCACTCATCTGTCCCTACATGACATAATCGTTGGACGACGCGAAAGCTACATATGATGATTGTTCCAAATAGAAACTGTTTGCCGTGTAGACCAAAAATCCGTTGTTACGTTTTATTCGTCGGAATTTGCAAAAGAATCTGACAGTAGATTGCGAGTCAATTTGACTTTTCGTGGCTTTGAAGAAAGCGATACTGCCGCCGAAACGTCAACCATTATTTTATCTTACTGAGTTGTGTTCATCAAATTTTATCAACCCTTACGCGACCGTGGACCCACGGCCTCTGCGTCTCTGGCCTTCAGCATATTGCATCTAACAATGACAGACCCATTAGACGCCATTGATAGACGCAGCACCTTGAAGTTAGAGACGCAGAGGTCGTGGCTCGGTGGTCCTGTAAGGGTTAACTACCTCACTTCGACTCATCAAGAAAAAGAATACTGAATTGTCCGTTAATGTAAAGATATGCAAAACTTTGAACCCTCAGACGGGAGTCAAACTAGCGTTATACCCTTTTGGGGGGTGCATGCTACTACCAATTGTACTAATAAGGTTCTTGTCCTACTCTCACTTTTTTGCGGTATAGGGTATCGATCTGTCAGCAACCAACCGTCAACGATTTCTCCTGATAAACACATATCGGCCTTAAGGAAATCTTAGCATCAAACCGCTTGTAGCGTTGGTATGCTGTAGTAAAATATGCTTACCGATCGATACCTTGTATCGCAGAAAGAGTGATAGCAGAGCGGGAGCCGCTTCTAGCGTTGTATGCTGTTGTAAAAATGCCAACCGATCGATACCTTGTATCGCAGAAAGAAAGATAGCGAAGCAGGAGCCCCATTAATGTACTTTTAGCACGCGCCCGGGAAGATGAAGTGCGGGTTCGATTCCCGTCCAAAGTCTAGAGTTTTGCACATCACTTAACATCATCAGATATGTATTTTTAGCATCATATCACCATAAAAGCGGTTTTATACTTCCTGTGTTGAAGTTAGTGATTGGTAGTCGGTCAGGAGAATTGTCTAGTTATAGAAAGTCCGAGGCGATCGTGAAGCTACCTGATAATGTTCCTCCTTAGAAGATCTTTCTGCTCCGGATTGTCACTTTTGGGAAAAGAACTCTATCAGGTTTGAGTCTTTCTGAAATTCGTGAGATTTTCTCATACACATTTTTGTTATGTATAGATGACGTGAAGCGCATGTGACGCAGTGATTAGAGGTGCCCTGGGTCGCACACGAGGTCACTGGTTCGATCTCGCGCTCATGGCTCAAAGCCATCCATACCTGTCTAGGAGGATAAGCAGCACTGACGCGGTTCAGCGGGAGGTCATTGTAAAGGCCAGATATGCATTCAATCACCTCAAGCGAAGTTAGAAATTGAAGTCGAATGCATGGCGCATCCCTCATGGATTGACCAACGCCGAGAGCTTTATCCTTTATCCTTTATAGATGACGTGAAGCTTACAGCAAGACATGTTTGTATGGTGGAAGTCTTTTTATAACTTTTGATACGACCTGTCTTCACATTTTATTGTGGAGATCCCAGTATTTCTCGTCTCCTTGCATTCATCGTTTGCTTGAGGATTTTTTCTTCCTTATGAACGCGGCAGATCTTGAGGATACTAAGCTGGGACGTTCCTTGAGGAGTCGTTGATTGCCGAAGAGTGCCGCGAGGATCAGTCTTCACCCGCTTCCCCCTTATTTGTGTAACACGGTGTTATTAATTGAATGTAAATTGGTGTATATGGAGCATTAGACCCCGGGAGATTGTTATCTCACGTGGACCCACTTCCTCTGCATCTCTAGTTGGCAACCCTGGTCGGTCTGACCACCTTCGCCTCGCTAAACCTAAACCTCGGCGTGCTGTTGTTAGATGCAGCACGCTGGTGGGATAGAGATGAAGAGGTGTTGGAGGAGACTGTTGAAGTTGCCACTTAGAGATGCGTGGGCCGTGGGTCCATAGTCGCAAAGGGTTGAGCTTTGAAGGTGTGCCCTTTCTATGAACTCGCGATTTAAATGGGGATTCAGTATATAAAAATTGCCAGAGAATCGTGATATTAAGGGTGAATCTGTTGTTCGACTCGTCCTCAAAGATGCCAAGCGTCACAATGCTCTATCGCTCGCAATGATCGACGAGTTGATCAAGGAATTAGAGGAATTAAATAACATGTCTAAGGTTTGTTCAAGTTTGTAAACGTTAGAATTAGCATCATCTATGAGTGAATATGAAGCTATTTGTTGCAGGTCCGCTCAGTGATCATTGCGTCGGGAAGCAAAGTGTTCTC